ATTTGGAGACCTGTTGGAATGTAAAACGCTGCAGTGAGTACACCGATTGAGAAAATGATACCAATCTCAAATGGAATATAAATATTTTGCAGGGTCTTTTCCGCACCCTCCAAGTGCTTTAAGTCACAAATTGCTACTGTAATGTTACTCCCAAAACATTTGACATTTTGATATCGAAAGCCAACAAAAAATACGACAGGAAGTGTGTTAACCACTGAAAACAGCAATCCTCCAAACGCAGCATACATTTTCTGGTGACGTGTGAATTGTTTTCCAGTTGGACGACAAATTTTCAAATATCTACTGATAGAAATCAGCAACAAAATAGTTGCAGACCAAGTTGATGTCATCCATGAAAAATATTGTAATATCTTGCACAAAAGTTCATAAGGAAACTGAATGAAATAGAAATTTTCGGTGATCCCAAAAGAAGCCTGGAAAATACACGACAGTAAATCCGCTACTGCTAACATCGGTATGAAGAATCTCTTTTCTGTTTTTGGCATTTTAAATCTATACACATGTATTAGCAGGCCGTTACCTATAATTCCAAAACACAAAAATAATATCATAATAATTGTGTTTGGATACAATGCATTTGTGAAGAAAGATTGACAATCGTTGGATGTATGGTTCATTTTCAAATCTGCAGATGTCTGAGTAAGCAACAGATGTCTAAATAAGCAACGAGAAGAATGATATATACCTATAGATAAACACTAACCTAAGTATTGAGGAAAATATGAATGTCATGTGAACAACAATTCTTAAGTATATTTTTAGCTTCATGGGGAAAGACCTGAGTATATTGTGTACTGGATAATCTTTGTGATTTTTCAAGCGAAACAAGATATCGAGAGTTTTTCCTATCTCATTATCTAATTATTGTGCATCTTAGATTATGCCTTTTCCTCTGTAAGGGTCAGTATGGTTATTTATACTTGTGTTAAAGAATACTTACTTTACAACATTTCTTATTATTTTTTGTTTGCCAACAAGACAAATTATATACACTGGTTTACCGACTACATTTAAAATATAATCCCTTCTAACTTTTTCCCCAGTAAGTGTATCTTTCAACTTAGCCGGAAATTTTAACGAAACTTTGTCTTACATGTAAGCCCTGAACATGTGATAATGTTTACATAGTAAGAAAAATTGGGTTTATTTTGACAGGAAGAATCAAGATATATTACAATATGAGGAAATTTCTTTCTTCTCAGAATCAGACCAGGATACTGATTAAGACTTTCTGTGTTCACCGTGTAGACAATACATCTTTCCCCCATTTAATAAATTTTTCAAACATTAGATATGCATTTGCGATAATTGATAGCAAATGCATATATTATGTTTGGCGAAAATTATAATTTTCAGGAGCCCTAATTACTAATCATTAAAGAATTGCGAATCATGAGGTAAAAATTACTATTCAGTTAACTATCATTTTCTCGCTCAATTAAATCTTCATGAAAAAAATAACTGTTTTGGGTATGAGTATATCGTCATTCAAAAAAGAAAAATAAAATCGATTCGTCATTTGTTATGTAGATTACTTTAAGCATCTGCAGTTTCTTTCTCTGTTGATTCAAACGTCGTATTATGTTACTGCATTATATACAGTCATCAAGACTTAAAGAATATATTTCGTTGAGCCAATTGACAATTAGCAGAGATGTAGAGAAATGATATAAAATTGTCTACTCTTGAAGCTCCTTAAATTACTTTCAAGACGTTTTAACTCATCCGAAGAAATGGTTCGGGTCATATTACATACTCTAATCGAAGATTTTTCCTGTGTCCAAACTTTTAAATGTCTGTAACCTTTTAATTTCAGCACTTTTCTTTACTTTAGGGCAGATCCAACATAATAAGGATGTTCGACGGTCTTCAAATCGATGTCAGATGTTATGCAGCTTTAAAATACTAGCTTATAAAAATATTACCTTAATGTGTTCATCTAGAAGGTTACCAAGGCTATCATTGTTATAAATAAAATTCAAATACCGTAGGTCGCCCGCGTGGCGCAGTGGTTAGACGCGGAGTAAGGAGTTGATCCTTACGTCGCGGGTTCGAATCCAACTGTGGGACGTAGAGACTGATCCTTCGGATGAGACCGTATAAACCAAGGTTCCGTGTCGCAGTAGGTGCTGGCACGGAAAAGATCCCTCACTGCTCAATGGCCCTGAGTGCCGAGTATAGGTCAAAATTTGCAGCTCTTCACCGGCAAGAGGTGACGTCTCTATATGAGTGAAAAATTCTCGAGAGGGAAGTTAAACAATAAAACAAACAAACAAAAAACAAATACCGTAGTACATGTATTAAAAAATATGTACATTTCGTTTGAATAGGAAGCGTTAAAGACTCAAACTTTGAGTGCAACCTCATGATGTTTCCAAAAAAAAAAAAAAAAAAAAAAAAAAACCTGTCTCTTCTGTTTGACGGTCGAAGCTTCAAAGTCAGTATGATGGATATTGGATAAAGACTTAAAAAGCTATAAATAAACTAAATCACTTGGTCTTAAACTTGTGAAACATAGATAAAAGCAACAATTATATGGTGTAACATCTGTGGTTTATTCTTACAAAATACAGCCTCATTTCTCCGAAGAATTGAAAGGGAAACATTACTCATCTTAGCATCTCGGCCCACGATCCATGTGTTCTACATATTGCATTTAGTCACCCGCGTGGCGCAGTGGTTAGAGCGTTCGCTTTAGAGTCGCGGAGTAAGGAGTTGATCCTTACGTGGCGGGTTAGAATCCCACTGTGGGACGTGGAGACCGGTCCTTCGGATGAGACCGTATAAACCAAGGTCCCATGTCGCAGTAGGTGCTGGCAAGAAAAAGATCCCTCACTGCTCAATGGCCGTAAGTGTCGAGTATAGGACAAAATTTGCAGCTCTCCACCGGCAAGTGGTGGCGTCTCCATATGAGTGAAAAATTCTCGAGAGGGACGTTAAACAACATACAAACAAACAAACATATTGCATTTACTTTCTTTTTGAAAAGAAATACTTATTCGGGCAATTAATTATAGATACTACGTACGTAATCAATTGTCTGTACCAGGAAGAATACGCAACAGAAAGAAAATCCTTCCTTAAAAAGAGCAAGGAGGGGAAATATTTTCCTTCACCTATTATTGTCACTACCCTAAACTGGGATGAAATGGTTATAGGGATAAATATTCATTTTGTAATTTTTTATTTTTTTTGTACAAAAAGACATTGAATATACAGTATAATTTGTCCAAACCGGACACCAACGGTTCCATAAAATTTGGCCGGATTAGACAGAATCCGGAGTGCAGGAAAAATGCAGGGAAATATTTGAAATTTATTTCTGTTGTTTTATTAACCATTACAATGTATATGTTGGGAAAATATAATTAAATGACAAAATCATTTGATATTTATGGAGTCTAAAATTATTCAAAAGTATTGCATGACTTACTGTCAATTATTTCTTTTCGCTCACAAAGTTTGAGACTTTCAACGTGAAATGTTAACGGAGTCAAAATCTACAGACAAGTGTATATCAAGTGCGGGTTTTGCAAGTCGGAAAGCGCATTTAACTAAATCATAAATACAACTATTTACGATTTGATAATTATTGAATTGACATTTAAAATTTCATGTAAAACAATGTTATGGCTCCATTTTGAAATGAGACGTTTGCGTTTCTATTCCGATTTATATTTTGATTTGTAAATCGTTTATCTATATTGTCATTGATTTTATGTTATATTGTGTGATATGGAGTTGAAAGCAAGTTAAACATGTAAACATTTTTAAAAATCTACTTTCAACTTAACTTTATATATCTTCAAGTGGGTTGTATCAAGGCCGCGTTTCAGTTCGTCTAATGACACTTATGTAAACACACGTTAGCACATCTACCACGAAAGGTGTTTATTGCATTGAAGTGACTCGGGTAATTCTGCGCGGCCGGATTAGAGGAAATAATTACCCTTAATTATGAGTAGTTGGGACCATTTGATCGTTCGGAATACAGAATAGACAGTATCCGGACTACACAGAATTTTTTAACACATTTGTTAAACAAGTGCATGGGACTAAACTTTATAGCCGAATTGGACAAAATTCCGGAGTACTCAGAGTCCGGATTAGACAAATTTTACTATATATATATATATATATATATATATATATATATATATATATATATATATATATATATATATATATATATATATATCCCACTGTGTCTTATCTATTAAATAGATGCATTGTGAAGGGTAGAGATTTATACAAAACACTAATTATGACGAAGGACACTAATAATAAAAAAAAAGGTAAATTTTCTGGAGCCCCTGTGCCTCCAATATGACAAAGGAAAGATTAGAAAGTCATAAAAACAAAGGGAAAAAAACCAAGGGAACTACACCAAATAGACCCGACGTATTTCATAGTGGTCCGGAATTATTTCATATCAATTGTTTTCATTGTTATATAAGGTTGAGTAGTGTAGCTGTAGTGCTGTTTATTATTATTATTTCCAAAAACAGACATGCCTTCAGAACCACTCGCACTGAAGAAGAAGCCTACTTTTGAATTGGCTGACAAACCTTTTAGTGTTTTTTTTTTAAAGTGTAAGGTTACTGCGAGACTTTATGTTAATAGTTACGGTGATGATGTCGATGGTACATGTATCGAAAATCTAACCAAATAATTGCTGAAAGGTAAATAAAGGTAATTATGAATAATAATTGTTTTTATAAAGCTATTGAACTTATTATTTATGGAAACTATTGTATAGTAAGATAATTAAAAGAGTAAATGCAAAGTGTTCCATAATCAAGTAAGTCTGTTACGTAAAAAAATAGTAAAGGATACTTGATTTCAGGTCACGTAACATTTTTCATACACGTAGTCTTGCAATTAAAATCTATGACACTCGTTTTAAAGGAAAAAACACTTTGACAAACTAAGCGTCATAAACTGCTTCAAGATCCTCTTTTACGTTGCATTTCTCTATTTAACCTGCATTATTCTATATATTAAATCAGATTCATTTTCACTCTTGATGCCTGTACTTTGAGATTCAAAAAAGAAACAAGGTAAGAGCATTTAAGAGTTGTAGTTCTAGCATAATGACAGTGTGTACTTGCGTAAGATAAGCGTACAGGCACCCCTTTGGAATAAAACGCTTTTTTTATTTAGATAAAAACGTTCAGAAGATTTTATGGTTTTCGTAGATGAATCGATTAACAGCTTAAACATCAGGGGTTTCCTGAACCAATATCTGAAGAATAAAAATTTAGAAATCTATTTCTTTTCTAATTTCTGAAATTTGTATTTCTAATTTAAAAAAAAATATATATATATATTTAAACACCATATGCAAGTACTTGTACATTGCTAAATAAATAAGGGAAGTTGACGATAAAAAAGCTGGAATTATTACGTTTATCATGAAGTTCACTTGTTAGTTTCCATTAATTCCTCTTCTCTAGTATTCATTAAAATTTACACATATGAAAGAAACCTCTCTGACTCTGTGCTGTCGTATATCTTTTACACTGTAATGAAGCCCTCTATTTTTTTCAATTACTTTAGATAAATCGCATCAGTAAAAAAAAAAAGAAATTTTGGTGATGGATTAACATGTTCAGACGTGTAACAACGTAGGGTTTACATGTTCAGGCGTGTAACAACAGAGGATAACACATAAATGTTAAATTCGTTATATTTTTAATTTCCCAGACGTTCTTGGTCGTCTGTTTCCTGGAGGAAGATGCTTAAAGAACTGTACTGCAAAAGTTGAATATAAACTTTATTGATATTAATTCCTGGACAAGCGAATACGATGTTACTTTTTCACTCCTGTCACCGTGCCTCTTCTATTATGCCCCTGCAGCTAATATAAATTAAAAGTCTGAGAAAAGATTTTAAAAGGAATTTAAAAAGAAAGACATTTTTTTAAAAAATATTAGATTACGAGACGGCTAATTATTTATAAATTTATCTTCCCTATTTTCTCTTATCAGACTATAAGATAAAGCAACACATGGACAAAGAAGGATAACACCGACATTTACCTATTACAAAGGAACACTTACTTTTCACCCTTGTGCTAAATCTGTTAGATATGCGTTCTTAATGTCCACATTGATTTTTTTTTTCTTCTTTTTTTTTTTTTTTTGTATTTGCCTTTTCGAACGACATAACAAATTTTATATAAATAGCAAAGGTACACTAACATCACTATTTTTTTTTATTTAAAAAAGAGGGACATCTCTCATCAATTCATCAATACAAATATAACAACTTGACAACATTGCTGTTATAATTAATCTTCCAAGGATCATTGAAAGATCTACTGTGATTGGCAAATGCAATTCTAACCACCTAAATTTTATTTCTTGACAATGAGTTTACAGTTTACCTAAAGACATGTCATCGGATACGTTTAATCGGTAAACTTTGATCATGCTCATGATTGTAACTTCTTCATCAAATGTGAAAATAAAAAAAAAATATATTTGTGTAGAATGGAAAAACCACATATATTCCGTAAAATTTACACAAAGAACACTTTGGGATATCGTTTTCTTGAGTCTGTGAAATTTCATTAATATTTTAATGCAATAAATTTGAGAACAACCCAAACTTAACCGAATTGGGAGGCCTTCTTTCCAGCCAAACATGCTGATATTTTGTGTGACCGGTCGGCAGGGTATGCTTATACTCATCCATGGCACCTGATCCCACCTTTGATGTTTTCAGAGGTCCGTGTTTGCTCTGCTCCCGATTTGGATTACTGTTCGTTATCTCCATATTTCATTTGTATAATGACTTTATATCTTGCTTGAATTACGTTTGTACAGAATGTGCTTATGGACAATAAGACGAGGAAATCAAAATGTGGTGTTTTAAACTTTTACTCAACATCCGAATAAGTTCAATAATAAAAGATTAAATTTCAAATTCCGTACATCGGTTAACTTTTGTTTTTGCCTTGAGGGTTTCTAAGGAACATGATTAATGAATACAAATATAGAGAACGTTGCTAGATGAGTAAAATCTGAAATGAATATGCATGCCAAAAAATTAATCATTGCATCAATACGTTTGAATTTGTTTAAGATATGGTTCCTAATCATATTTAACCAGATGCAGTTGATGCATGTCGTCATTCTGTTTGTGTTGGCTGTAGTGCTCAATGTCATTGAAGCACAAATGAAAGGAGATCAAGGTATGATAAGTGGCGGACCAAATGACCCGTGGTATTGTTGCCGAAGGACAGCGGATCGTTGTTTGGAATGGTGTAGATGATCATGGTAATTTCTTAAAGTATTTACACGAAAGTTACTCCACTGTATGAACAATATAAGCACTCATATGTTCACACACACACACACACACACACCCTCACACACACACAGAGAGAGAGAGAGAGAGAGAGAGAGAGAGAGAGAGAAAGAGAGAGACTATTCTGAATATAGTAAACTTTGGATATAACGTTTGAATTCTCTTTGGGACATTGAAAATTTCAACGTTACATCCAATTAACGATATGTCTGAATATCTGGTCCAAAAATGAGTAGATACTGAAAGAAGTTTCCCTTACACTTGAATAATGTTTCATAAGAAGTTTTCAATTCTTTAAATAACATTATAGTAACTTTGTAAAAAAAATGCAAAAAGAAGCAACATATATTAAACGTTTAACGTGAATAATGCATTATGAATCGTCTACTTATGTCTCACGCGCAGACCAGTCTATCGATCATCAACAAACTCTCATATATATGGACAACGCTTCATGCATGCTACAAACATACTCGATGACATCTCAATTTTATAATTTTATTAATTAAGGTTTTTCTCAATCATCTGCAATTTCACACAACAACGTACTCCGATGAAAAAAAATTATGAGCAAAACATTATAAACGCATAATCTTTGCACGATGTTAGAAGGACTCGGCCGGGGATTTTTGTAAAACGTTATTATAAACATAAACGTTATAAAATCCTTCTGCATTCGTCAGGTGTTACCAACATTCTTTTATTGAAATTGAAACCAAAGAACACAGTTTAAGTTTAAACTTTATTAAGTTTTGACCTATAAATATATTAAAAAAAACTTTATTTGTTCAATTACCGATGAGAATTGTTTAGCCGAAATGTATATCATACTTGAAATGAAATTGCTAACAAATTCAATTTTCTTTAAAATTACATGTATATAAAACATTTTTAATTTCTTTTTTCATTGTAGGTACATGCTAATGTGAATACAAGACGAAAGACAGGACACACATCTACCAACACTCCATGAATTTCAACGAAATAAACCAATTATTGTTTTGATTGATAGTTTAATACAAATGAAAAATCAATAGATATTTCCTTTGTTTGTTTACTGTAATTATAATAATATGAATCTGTGACATTTCTGACAATTTCAAAAGTTTGTTAAGATTCCAATGCAATATATGAAGGGAATTAAAAATGTTCGTGAACTTCTGCCATAAAATTAAACCCTTTTGGGAACATCAATGAGCTTTTACACATTTATTTGACATCTTTTTCTGTCTACAGAGTAAAGTATTAGGCGTACTTTTTTTTAATATGTGAATAATACGAAATATCTTCGTAAGCGATGATATGCGCAACCACAAAACACGATGCATTTCTACCTTTTGTCTACCATTATCCAAACGGAGAATTATCTTTTAAAATGAACAATTGTCATCCAATTTTCTCAATAGTATACTCGTAAGATGCAAAACAATTGTTCTGTAAATTAAAAAAAAATTACCTCATTTTGTCACTTCCCTGAGATTTCGATTTCAATAGAGAGCGATTTAACATTAAGGGTTAAAAATAACGTAATTTGCATTGACTTTGAAATTTATTCAGCAAAATATGTCCAGGTCCCGGGATCATGAAACATCTTAAGCTTAAGTCAAAATCTTTATGTTGTACTAATATGTTGTTGAAGTCAAGTAGACAAAAATTAAAATATTTTTCAATATTGCTTTACAAAAGTATTGATATTTGCAAATTTAGAGATTAATTCAATGATTGATAAACATTTTACAGGCGATTAAAAATTTGACTTAAGTCTAAGTCTGTTTCATGATCCTGGGCCCAGATACCTTGTTTTTAAATAGGATTTAATAGTCACAGAGAGAAGAGACACATTTAATGTCCCTTTGAGGTATAGGTATCCCAGACAGTCAAAGCGGAGCGTATCTTTGTTCATGTAAAGGCAGAAACTGAATTTGGACAGGTGAATTAAGCTGACAGTACCAATCAATTTTGGATTTTTTTTTCTTTGTTGGACAGATAATAAATTTTCTTCTCTTGAAATTGGCTCGTCATGATGTTTTCAAGTCATATAAACAAGAAAGGTCTCAGTTTTAGTCAGTATTAAAAGTCGTGGTACATTTTAATTTCTCTTGCAGGGACACTAAAAACTTTGAGGGCATATTCAGATATGTCAGGATTATGCATAAACTATTTTTTTTTTTTTTTTTTGAAAAAAAAACAAACATTGTGTGGATTGGATAAAAAAAAAAAATACAGTGTTAGGTTCTATCCCAAACAATCATCTTAATTTGGGAACTACTACATTAACTGTACTAGGGATAATTTTTGCTGTTGACTTACAAAAAGTGCCTTATATGAATTATCATCGAAGGTTAGTGGAAATCGAGTGTATTCTTAGTCATGGGGAAAATGTTTTTAACTCCAATTGTAAAAGTTACTGTTATAAGAACACTGGTTTTACCTATATGAAATCATTTACTAATTTCAATACCCAAATCCATCGAGTTCTTATTGTCAAGAATTAAAAAAAATGTCAATTTATGGACTAATTCAACCCAAAGAGTGAAAAAGGATGTCATTGTTAAAAATTATGAAGATTGAGGACTTAAAATGATAAATTTGAATTCTTTTATTGCTTCTTTGTAATTGTTTTATTAAGTTGTTAAATCGAATGTTGACTGAAATTTTTCACACAAACTGTTGCAAATTGAATTCGAAAAGGCAAATGTATTTCTGCGTTTGCAATTTGCCGCAAAATTCATTTACGGGATATGACTGAAATCTGCCATATTTTACGCGTATTTAAGTACACGTATTGAAGAATATACATGCTGTATGTGTTCAAGGTGAATCACAATTGAAAAGAAGCCCTGAAGCTCTTTTACCTAATTTTTCGTTAATGTAGTGGGCTAATTTCTAATAATTATTTTATACACTGTAAGCATAAAGCTGTAGTAGTTTTTAGTTGTTCCATTACGGATTAGTTCAGGCGAAAATCTACCTTGATGCACGCACGACTTATCACATTAAGGAATAACAGTTGACGCGTTGAAAGATTGCCCAAATTAGTATTAAAGGATATTGTGCGATAGTAAGTTTTCCAGGTTTGGCCTTTCAGCAAAATTCCTCGAAAATTAGTCAACTGCAGAAAACACACTATACGGTAAACCATCCTCTACAGATGCATCAGTGATGAGGTTTGATATTTCTAGGTTGCATTGTATTTGTCTATACATGTAGATACTTGTAAAAGTTAAAAAAAAAAAATAAGTTTACAATTACCCTCTTTGATGTCATAGAACACTTTCCTCCCACGATTAGTGAAGATGATTCTAAATCACAAACAAACTCTGCAAAATATGCTTACAGTGTTATTTGATTATAGAAATCAAGAATATAGCACCCATGGACTACAATGCACACATGATTCACATTGACCCTTTCTTCGAAAGAAGAATATTGCTTTTATTTCAAAGAAAACATTGGAACAAGGGAACCAGTATTGTTACCTAACACTCACTATAGGATAAAACTTGCTTCCATTCAATACGAAAAACCTGCAGCAAAGCCAACATATCTTAGCCATATCAATGAGACTATAAATCTATCATGACCTTACCGTCTAGGGATAGGTACATGTACATGTAGAGCGTTTACTGCATGATACCTATCCATTACAAACCTGAGTCGACTAAATATAGAAAGCATTTTTTTTCTCCGAGCGCTCGGCACCTTGAATTGAAAATTGCGAGTATTTCGGATGCCACCTTAAAACCAGACCCCGTGTCAAGGAAGGAGTAAGGCCAATAAAGATTCCTCACTACTAAATGGCCCTAAGTGCCCAGTAATGGTCTAAATTAGAATCCCTTCAACGGCATACAGGGACGCCTCTTATGAGTGAAAGAAATTGCGCGAGGGACATAATATTACTGTAAAGGATCAATCAGTCAATCACTCTGGAGAAGGATTTAAAAAAGAATTTTTTCCTGTCTACAAAATCTAAATTTTCAACCCTTATTTTGCCCTCATCCTTACCTATACCAAGGGTAAAATTGTGAAGAAAAAAAATGAGTCCACAAGTTTTGAGAATGCTTGCAAATTCAGCTTAATGTGGCTCTGTTACTCTTGGAAACGTCTTTTTAAATTAATTTTTAAAATATTTACAAGTAAAACTTTGATGAAGTATTGTTAACCAATTTTTCCCCACCCAGTTGGGCCAAAATTCCAGCAAATCTAAAATTATCTAAGGATGTTTGCTTGTTAATAGCACACATAATGACAATTAACCTACTGTTCTTGATTATTTCGATATATTCCCATGAAACAAAAGGAAATCCTTTTTGAAGCATATAAAATGTCAGAGAGAGAGAGAGAGAGAGAGAGAGAGGTTCGTCTAAGCGTTCTCTGCAAAGCATATACCTGTATCAATCAATTCTTAATTTCAAAATTTGAATTATTTGCAGTATCAACCACAACTATTTAGTCGCCCGCGAAGCGCAGTGGTTAGAGCGTTCGCTCTAGAGTCGCGGAGTAAGGAGTTGATCCTTACGTAGCGGGTTGGAATCCCACTGTGGGACGTGGAGACCGGTCCTTCGGATGAGACAGTATAAACCAAGGTCCCGTGTCGCAGTAGGTGCTGGCACGAAGAAGACCCCTCACTACTCAATGGCCCTGAGTGCCGAGTATAGGTCAAAATTTGTAGCTCTCCTTCGGCAAGTGGTGGCGTCTCCATATGAATGAAAAATTCTCGAGAGGAACGTTAAACAATAAACAAACAAACAAACAAACCACAACTATCTATAAATCCGTTTGTTCTGATTGCAAGATCAGTCAAAAAAGAAAAACGAAGAACAAGGTACGGTTTCAATACAAATCTGGCCCTTTACTTTTCTAAAATTTGAAAATGTTGAAAGATATTTAAACCCATTCTTTTTTAATCATTGAAATTCCACACAGTAAGAACATACATGTACAACTCGTTTTTTCTCATATAACCTCATAAATGCTAATTTAGTCGTCATGACCTTGTGTATTTTCCCGTATTTTCTTTAAAAAGTTGCAGAAGACATCAATTTTCAGTGGAATTTTCTTTCAGATAATATACAGCATATGCCTTGCCCCAGAGATTTTGAGAAATGTAATTTTTCAAAAGATTTTACACAACATAACCGAAAATTGAAGTGGGCGTGAACACTGTTTTCTTAAGGAAAATTACCCCTGAAATGAAACATTTTGAGGCATTTTCTGTTAAAACTGAAATTTACCAAATTAATGACGTCATATTTCAAGAATGGTCCTCTTTCATACCATATTCTTCCATGATTTATCACATTCCTATTCTCAACTAATATTCTCATATTTACGACAATTTCATAACTTTTTGAAAACATTAAATTTTAAGGCCACAATAAATCCCAAACCTACCTTCTTCTTCCAGGTTCAAGGTCTAAAGGTCATAAATGAAGTACTCAAAGAACGTTTTGTTTGAAGAAATATACAGACACGTGAAATATGAAAGCCCTAGCGCCAACCGTTCAAAAGTTCTGGACAAGGGTAATAACACTCAAACAGGCAGGCAGGTAAACTGACGAACAAACTAATGACTACATGCCCCCAAATCTCCGATTACGGGAGCATAAAAATATTTTATCAGATTACATTTTTAAATGTTCTTACTAGGAGACGGAACTTTATAATAGGAATACAGAATGTTTACTTATTCACAAAACAAAGGTAAAATAAACTTGAAGATTCGACATGGTTCTTTAATTTCCTAAAGCATGTTTGAAACAAAATATTAAGCTTTTGGTGGAATACGTCCCAAAATAACATAGAATATAAAGCATATCATTAAAAAAGCATTCAATTTATTTATTAAAATTACACTGGATGGAGGGAAAAAATTGACATAATGTTTCCTTGCAATCCCTGATGTACATTATTTGACCAGTCGCTAGATTATGAAATTTATAGATCAAACTACCTGTAAACTTTTTAAATATAACTCATATAATTATTTTGATTATAAAAAAAGTACATATTACAAATCAAGAACATTCTGTGTGCATCTAAACGTTTAAACCTATAATGAAATCATTGTGAAGTACAGCATGACATCCATCATTATATCAAAGGTAAAGATTACGAACAGTGAATAATCTTAAAGTCGTCCGAAGAAAAGGGATAAATACGAACTTCTGGGCAAAAGAGGTGGAGTCATGTGCCTAGGAGGAGTTTTTTGTTTGTTTGTTTATTGTTTAACGTCCCTCTCGAGAATTTTTCACTCACATGGAGACGCCACCACTTGCCGGTGGAGAGCTGCAAATTTTGTCCTATACTCGACACTTACGGCCATTGAGCAGTGAGGGATCTTTTTTTGTGCCAGCACCTACTGCGACACGGGACCTGGGTTTATACGGTCTCATCCGAAGGACCGGTCTCCAGGTGCCACAGTTGGATTCGAACCCGCGACGTAAGGATCAACTTCTTACTTCGCGACTCTAGAGCAGACGCTCTAACCACTGCGCCACGCGGGCGACCCTAGGAGAGTTTGTATCCCAAGTTAACTTTATTAAGTCCCTTGTGCTGACAAGATAAACAGAGAACTCTGTTGTATGAGATCTGAATACATATATATACTAATATAACAAACTACTTTCGATTGACTTATTATTGTTTAACGCCGAGTCGTCAGTATTAAAGCCATATAAAGACGATTAAAATATTTGATATATTAAATACTTCATATCTATATTGTTTGACTTGATAAAATTCAAATTTTAGGCATTGCCGAGATCAAAGAAATGTCGCGGACATTATTCTTCAATAAATCTTGGACGTCATCAAAAGACGAACGCATATCAAACTTGTTTCGGTGAAAATTAATATATAACTTGCGGATGCAATACTTTTTGCAGCCCGGAGACCCGGGATGCTCTATACATATTAGTTTACGTTTTGGTGTGTGGGATTGAGGTGGGAGAAGTTATTCAGAATTTAAGGTTAACTATTCATTAAAAAACTATACATCAGAATGTTCTTTCCCTTTTTAAATTAATTTTAAATTTAAATGTAAAATTCAATATATATATATATATATATATATATATATATATATATATATATATATATATATATATATATATATATATATATATATATATATATTGATGATAGGTGATACACTTGTCTGATTCTAATTTACATTTTATGCAGCAAACAGTTACTTATGGAAATAATAAAAAAGTTTAAAACGGTATCTTTTTTTTTTCGATTTTCATCCGATTAGAAGCTTTCCGTGTAAATTTTTCTCGTCTGTAGTCTCGATCATTCAGATGTCTACTTTTACTACACAAATCGAAGCTGATCGATGATCAAAATTTTACTTCATTAATGGCAACATCGATGTTTTCTTGTTTAGACCAAATCGATGTGTCGTCTTCTGCAATCTAATTGTTGTGTACTGCCTAGAACCGGTGATATATGTCTATTTTTATAGCTAAAGAAGGCTATTCCATGGAACTTCCTACATTTACATTCCGTAATGTTACGGAGATAGCAATAAAACCAACTGATTTTGCTATTTTATACTCATAAAAAATCAATGTATGTAACAAACAGATTTATGAATGATTAAAGGATATTTGTAGTCCAACAAAAACTCAAATCGTCTGCATTTCATTGCAATCGATACACAAGTTTATAAAGTTGATCCTCTCTTGTTAAATGAAACAACCTAATCATTTGTTTTTTCTCTAGAGAAGACAATCATCCGTATTTTAGAACTAGTTATCGTAGATGCTTAAGGATAACCTCCGAGGTCATCCACGAAAACACGAACTTTATTTCTTAAAAACATAACCCAGTAAAGCAAAAATTAACTGATAAACCGGACGTGATGATGATGTTTTTATGTATTTAGTTATTTACCAGATAATAGGTTTAACATATTCAGGACAAATTTATAGACTGTTATGTGATATACAAATGTAACGTGACATATTTAACTTGCATCAGTATTTTTAAGAGGTATTAGAGAGGAATATAGCCTATTAAGTTAAAATGGAAATCCCCTTAACTTCAGAAAACATTTTTCATTTAAAACTGCCAACAAGAAAATTTAAAGACCATCAGAATTCACAATTGTTCTATTCCTTGTACTAAGCTACGGAATTAATGGCTTATTGACATATCGCCTAAGCACAGTTAAATAGATTAAGATCTTTACAACGGAATGATTCGTAATTCCCAAAAAAATTCAATTAATTGAGACCTTATCAGATCAGATTTGATGCAAGTCATAGAGGAAAAAGCGCTCTGAATTAATCAACATTAGATTTATATTACACACTTAGACAAAGCACCTTGTCAGAAAAGTCGGTTTGAAATGGACACCATGCTAATTAAACTAGGGAAAGAAAACATAATTCGCTCATCCTTTATCCCAAATTTAGCAATTTGTGACATCTGGGCTATTATTTTAATGAAAATTACCTGTGTGGAAAGTAATATGAGACTCAGAAAATTTTAAGGTTGCTGTGAAGAGTATGTCAAGAAGCATGTCACGAAACAGGGTGCACCACGTGTTTCGTACGTGAGCAACACGTTGGCAGATGTGGGTCAAAGCCGGAGTGGTCTATTTTAAAAAAGGAATAAGCACTAAAACCCTATTTTAATTCTTTTACATAAGGTATTCAAATAGTGCGCAATTTTTATTGGGATATACACTTGATTCAAGGAATGGATCCAAGAACTGTTTTAGTTATATACACGGGTGGAACTATCGGCAATGACTGTGTTGAAAATGGAGGTAATTACAGTTTTATCGTCCTTAAGTATATAGCTGTATAAGAACGATTTTCAAATCATAAAAATTCATTGTAATTGGTTTGCTTACGTCACTGTGAAATTAAAACATGGCTACATCAAGAAAAAAACTATAACATTTGGCACCGCTTGAAAATAACCTAGAAATCGACAAAAACACATAAATATATATGAAGAGAGAGAGAGGGAGAGTAGGGAGAGTTATATTCATTTTCCTTTAAATGGGTCCTTTCTATTTTTAACAGGATAAATAAGATAAATAAAACTTTTAAACAGGGAAAACATTAATCTAAGAGAAATTGGCTTCGAAAAAATATGCTACAAATCCCTCATTTGCGTAAGTTTTACAAAAGAACTAAACATTGAAACCAAAATATTAGCTTGTACAATATAAAACCAATACCTATATTCAAATTAAAAAAAAAAGAATAGTTCTAAGCATTAGATTTGTCTTTGTTTTCGGGTGGTTTGGTGCAGTGCTTTACATGTACCTGTACATGCCAACATTGACAATAAAACTGTCAGAAAAAGCAGACGAAATAATGCGTTAAAGCTGAACACGACTGGTAAATAGGCATACGCCATTTTCGATATTACTATCTACGATATCAGCAGCGGGGTATAATCTTCGCATTCGTTATACAGGTCGAGGAAACTATTTTCTAAGACGTCATAATAATTTTACATGCTAAATGAGGCACCCAACGTGACAGGCAAACCGACCAATCAGCTAAATGAGTTGCATTATGGGTTACTACAAAAAATACTACATGTACGTTTCGAAAAGGCCAGTTTTTTAAAATCGCTCTCGGAAAGACAAGATGCATTTTTCCAAACTTTTTACACACTTAATATAATATGTACATCATTAACTACTAGTTCCATGCTCACATTTACATACAAATGTTTTACAACGGTAAAATTAGGGTTTTCTCCACTTCATTGTATAAGTCCGTTTGTTGACAATAGCGTGGTAGTTTTTCCCGTGCTGTACTATCAGTCAGTATGAATTTTACGTGACTATTCCCTGGTCCAAACAAATCGACTCTGAGGTGTACTCACGTATTGTCATTGTTTACTACGTATACAACTTCGATACATATGCTACTCAATACACGTTCTTTGATCAATGTACATGAGAATTAAAATACCGTACAGCAATAGACTTATGTTTTTATAACTGCATTAACTTTTAATTTCTAGTAACAAATAACAAAGTAACATCGAATAATACCAGTAGCATGGCAAATTCACAAATATCAAATTATAAAAACCGGGTTCTTATTTACTTGTGAAGACTTTGTGAGCTCTATTTCAACGTACTATCTAACACGGAAAATTGAACCTGTTTGTTAATGTGAGCATGGAAAATCTTAATTAGTACCTATTTTTCGTGTTTATCACAAAAACATTAAAAATAATTATTAGTTAACTTTTTCGCAGTCATTTGAAATCGCGACCTAAATTTGCCTGACCCGCGTGTTTGTAGTAAAATATAAACATATATTAGACCATCATGCTTTTCGGCACATTCATTGGATAGGACGATTGCTCGCTGTAAGCACCTCTGTGCGCAATGACAACAATATCCATATATGGTAGATTCCTCGATCTGTTACACCTGACTGCATTATTGTCCCGGGTAACGGAGTGGAATGGCGACCCGTGTGCGTGCTGGTTATCTTGCATTACCTTTGTTTACATTTTACTGCAGTTAGGTGTATTAACAAGTAACTGTTTGTATACTTCACTGACCTGTTCAACTGTTGTAAGTTTCTTTGATATCTCTCTTCTGCATTGGAATAGGTACATAGTTATATTCTGTGCTGTATAGCATACGTCCTTCTACACCAGTGACGATTGATCACACTGATCAGTGACCAAGTCAGCGGCTTTATATAGGGGCCCTCAGATAAAGCGAGAATCCAATCGAATATGGCGGACACATTCCTTTTACGAATCGTGTTCAGCTTCAAGATTATAATTACCCAGCTGAACATTAAATATTATATTGATTGAAGAGGAGTTTTGCATGATTTGTTGATTTAAGGATTTGCCCCAGGAAACGATGAAAGATTCAAAGAATGTCTAAGACAACGGTGGCAATATCTAAATATCCCTTTTGTGGCTAACAGGACAGACGAAAATGGCCCAGTTTTCTTGACCAGCTGGTATTTTATTCTAATTGTTAATTGTTTAGGTATGAAGGTTGTCCTATTAAATCGTAGACTTTGTATATAACTCGAAAAATTATGAACGCATTCTCCCTAATTTTTCACTTGGTATGTTTTGATGAGTTTAGATAAAAACATTATAGATTTAAATCAAATATCCAGATATTATTTAAAGATTAAATGACAGAGGAAAAGTTTGGAATGGTTTGGCCACACGGCAGAATAAATTTAGCGTCATATCGATCTAGGGTAACGTCACAGAATTTTCTCTAGCATGCATAACGTCTTTTTGATAGCAATTTAATTTTTTTTTTTAACCAAACTGAGTTTAAATTCCGATTAAATGACAATTGTGACAGTACATAGTGTTGTTCTATACATATTGTCGCTGGCGACAATATATACCTGCCTTCAATGCATATATAGTCATACATCGGCACATATTGTATAAACAGCGACAATGTTTGCCAAGATGAGCATTTTTCCTCCTGCAGAATGAACGAGAAAATTAACAATCATACATAGACATATATTGTCCTTGGAGACAATATGAAATGTGAACATTTGCACATTTTATCCCCAATATATTGTTTTGAATAATATTTAATGAGGTCTTGAAGAGAGAGAGACTGAAAACCACACACATTAAAACAACAAAGAGAGAGAGAGAAAGAGAGAGAGGTAGACAGAGAGACAGACAGACAGCTAGACAAAAACACAGCTAGACAGACATAGTCTATGGCAGATAGCTAGATGAGTAAACATGCAATAATATAGAGAGAAAACTGATCAGAAAAGTATGTCAACGATCGATGTACACAAAAATAAGCCATGCCAATATACCAAAATTCTGAATTAATCTGATAAATCAACCTATTTTTATGCCCCCGTATCGAAGATTCGGGGATATATAGTTTTTGCCCTGTCCGTCCGTCTGTCTGTCTGTCTGTCTGTTTGTCTGTTTGTCCGCAAAAACTTTAACATTGCCCATAACTTTTTATTGGTTGGAGCTATGGCTTTCATATTTCACACATGTATTTCTTATGACAAGACCTTTCTTTGCGTACCAGCATATTTGACCTTGACCTTGGAGTTTGACCCAGTTTTGCAAAATTTTATCCAACTTTAACCTTGGCCATAACTTTTGAACAATTGGTGCTAAGGCTTTTATTCTTCATATGTGTAATTCTCGTGACAAGTCCTTTCTTTGGATACCAACAACTTTGACCCTTTGACCTTGGAGTTTGACCTTCTTTTGAAAAACTTTAACATTGGCCATAACTTTTGTATGATTGATACTTCAGCTTTCCTACTTCACATATGTAATTCTTGCGAGAAGTCCTTTCTTTGGATACCAACAACTTTGACTCTTTGACCATGACCTTGGAGTTTGACTTACTTATGAAAAACTTTAACCTTGGCCATAACTTTTGAACCGTTAGGCTGGGCCTTTCATACTTCACATATGTAATCCTTGTGACAAGACCTTCTTTGGGATACCAACAACTTTGTCCCTTTGACCTTGACCTTGGAGTTTGACCTACTTTTGAAAAACTTTAACCTTGGCCATAACTTTTGAACCGTTGGTGCTAGGCCTTTCATACTTCAAATATGTAATCCTTGTAAAAAGGCCTTCCTTGGAATACCATCAAATTTGACCCTTTGACCTTGACTTTGGAGTTTGACCTTCTCCTGAAAAACTTTAACCTTGGCCATAACTTTTGAACCGTTGGTGCTAGGCCTTTCATACTTCACATATGTAATCCTTGTGACAAGACCTTCCTTTGGATACCAACAATTGTAATCCATTGACCTTTACCTTCGAGTTTGACCTACTTTTTAAAAATTTAAACCTTGTTCATAACTTTTGAACGATTGGAGCTTCAGTTTTCATATTTCACCTCTATATTTTTTGTGAGAAGGCCTTTCCTAAGGCACCATTAATTTTGACAATTTGACCTTGACCTTGATGTTTGACTTACTTTTGAAAAACTTTAACCTTTTCTGTATCTATTCAATGGTTGCTGCCAGGGCTTTCATATTTCACAGGTATATTCCTCGAGACCGTACTTTGGGTACCAACATATTTGATTTGCATTTGAGAAAGTTTAACCTTTGCTATAAGTTGCCATACGGGGGCATCAGTGTTTCACAAACACATCTTGTTTTCTCGTTATACTAGTATATATTTGAAAAATGAATGTTAATTTTTGTGTTCAGTACTAATAATTATCTGGATTATATTTTTGTGTGATTCTTATTATGCCTCCGTATTGAAGATTCGGGGGTATATGGCTTTTGCCCTGTCCGTCCGTCTGTTTGTCTGTTTGTCCGCAAAAACTTTAACTTTGCCCATAACTTTTGATTGGATGGAGCTATGATTTTCATCATTCACATGTGTATTCATTGTGACAAGACCTTCCTTTTGATACCAAACACTTTGACCCTTTAACCTTGACCTAGGATTTTGACCTACTTTCGAAAAACTTTGACCTTGGCCATGACTTTTGAATAGCTGGCGCTAGGGCTTTCATACATCACATATGTATACCTTGTGACAAGTCCTTCCTATGGATACAAACAACTTTGCCCCTTTGACCTTGGAGTTTTACCTACTTTTGAAAAACTTTACTCTTAGCCATACCTTTTAAACATTTGGTACTACAGCTTTCATACTTCACATGTGCATTCCTTGGGACAAGACTTTCCTTCGGTTACCAACAATGGCATTGACCTTGACTTTGAAGTTTGATCTACTTTAATAAAACTTTAACCTTGGCCATAACATGTTACATTTGGTTCTAGGGCTTTCACATTTCACGAACATGTGTATCACTTGTGACAAGCCCTTCCCTTGATGCCGCATTTGACCTTGACCTTGACGTTTTACTCACTTTTAAAAACTTTTGAACAAATTGCCCTAAGGCTTTCAAATTTCACAAGTATATTCCTCGAGACAAGACCTTTCTTTAGGCACAAACATTTTTGATCTCTTGATCTGGAGTCTGACTTGCATTTGAGACACTTTAACCTTTGCCATTAGCTGCCATACGGGGCCTCAGTGTTTCACAAACACATCTTGTATATACATGTACCGATATTATTGGGTTTGGGTTAGAAAATTTTTAAAGTCCTCTCATTAAACCGGATTTTGTACAAGTTTCCACATTATTACTTGTACAGAATGTCTTGTATATTAAATATAGCGTTCATTACAGTTGTTTGACTGGGGATGAAAAAAGAGAAATAAGCTATTTCATTGAAATAGAATGTTTGATTTTCGATATCATTATAATTATATATTTACATCGACTGATTATTATCTTCTTTTCTTCTTAAGAAAAACACGGTCATTTATCAATACTTCTTGCTAAGCAAGCCAACTGTAAAGATTTCTTGAATAGAGGCTTTTCCATGCCAGAAACATACAGTGACGTGAATATCAATAATACAATATTTAACGTACTTAAATAGGTTCACTTCTCAGCTTTTGAGCAGATTTTTGCTTGACCTATATTTAAAAAATTCTGCATAATGTTTTAGTTTCTACAGTAAATTTGGATACTATAATGCCTATTAAATTATATTCTGTTAAAATCCAATGATTAAATTCCATACCGAAAGGATTAAGTGAGGAACTATATTGTGTGGCGGAAGTTTTTTTTTCTTCATTTTTTTCTCTTTCAAAGTATTTAAAGTATTATTAAGTTTCGATTTTTTTTCCATGCAGCATGCACACAGCGTTATTTTGTATCGTGAACTGTTTTATGCTGGTCTTAAATTATATATAAAATAACATGTCATGAATTCTATCATCATATATGACAAATATAGCAAATATATTGTGAAAATCAAGAAAAAAAATAACCCCAATTTAATCTTAAAATTAACACTGTTTATTAATAACTAAAAGTTAACATCACAGAACCCCATTTTTAGTTTTCTTTTCTGAATATTCAAGATACTTTCAACCATTTTTCTTAAATTCAGTATAATGTCACTACTTTCAAATGATTTTTTTTCGCCTGATGAATTTTTAATGCCAGAAAAATGATATATTTTAGTACAGAAAGGTCAAATATTTGACCGTGCGAAGTAATTCGAAACTTTTTTTGTTGAAATGTGTTTATTCAAGATGAAATAAGACAGTCTTTGTCCCCATAATTTATTTGAATAAAAAGTATTGGAGGAAAAACTTAAATAAATTATTTATGTATTAGACATAATTACAGTGCAAAAAGGTCATACAAAATGATCCGTAAAAGAAGCGCATTGACCCCAATTTTTTATTTAGATTTTTAATTAAACTACGAGTGTAAATTCTAAAAATATACTTGATAAAAATAAATCTCATTACTTTTGATAACAGGATCCAACCATCTTAATGATGCTTTATATGATTATTAATACAGACATAAATATAAACAGCATAATGTCTTTCTTTCCATGTTAGTTAGGAATTAACGTTCCAGCTATTGCAGTAAAAAAAAATTACATAACCCTCGTTAGCAACAGCAACAACATTAATTCCCGTACTAAAAACTAAAGACAACATTTTGTTGTTTAACATCATCCATATAACTGTAAATCTAACAGTAGAGCGAAATTATGTGCAGTAGGGGTGAGCAAATATAGTAGAAAAAGAGAATATGTATGTTCAGTAATGGTAGGTATAGATTGTCGCCGGCGACAATAAGTACAGGACGACAATATTTACCGTCAAAATGGCGCTGCATGAAATATTCTACGAGACACGTTTGTTTGATTTATTCACCAGTTGCATTAACAAAACAACAACAAAAAATCATTAACTAAACCTAACTAAGGGCAACAATTTATGCAGTGAGGGTAGGAACATAATGTTACCAGCGACACTATGTACATGTATAATCATTTTTAGTCGGCAACAATATGTGTCGATGGACGACAATATGTACGAAACAACAATATGTACCATCACAACAACATTGCATGTCTATATCATTACTATTTCTCTGACAAGATTTACTGGAAAGTGGCTTTACCACAGCCAATCCAGTCCGTTATTTCTCTTTTCAGTTTTCCAACTGTCAATGTCGACCCCTCGACAAATTAATTGGCTGTACATGTAACAAGGTTTCCATCTTTGTGTGTAAGTCGACCGCGGAATGAATTTTCTAATAATTCAGTTCTAAATATTCAATTCTATTTGTAAATCAATATTTGAAAGCTGTTTCATTTACGTTTCTGTGTTGGGTATGATATTGAATATAGCTGTTGATGTCATCCCTGGTTGAACACAATTAACTTTCTATGACAGGCATTTAAGCCGTGTCATTGTAAAACGAAGTCAATTTCATTAAGTTCAAAAGTAAACTTGCATATATCAATTCTTAATTCAAACATTTAAACAATTTTCTAAAATATGACGTTAGAAAATTCAAATTTTACAGTTATTATCCAATTTTACTGCCTTTTGAATACATTATTAATTTTTCAGCAACTCGAAGAAATACCTGATTTTTTGTTCACGGAAAAAACTTAAAATTAAAACTAAAAAATATATCTTTTATACGTCGTGTGCTGCACGTACATATCATGTGCCAGAAAAAGAAAATGATATATTTTCTTTCCCTTTTTCATATTTTACATATTTTTGGAATATAATGGTTAAAATGGCGGTGAAAATGTTATTTGAATACGATACGTGGTTTATATGCTAGGCGCCTACATGTAATCTACGATTTAGTGGGACAATCCTCGTATAGGGGCTAGGAAAAAAATTAACATACACGAAATTAATTTTGATCAATTCTTTATTAAACCTATTTGTACATTTGGTATTTTGGAGAATATCAAGAGAAAAAACAATAATTCAGTTTATTTTCTAAGAATATGAGGTAAATTGACTATTTCACAAATATTTGAAATCAACTACTTGAATTACTTAAAGTCTGCAATTATTCAGTTTTAACAAATACTTTTTTTTGTCAAGGTCCCACACTGAGGAAAGTGTAATACTTGAATTAAGGATTTTGATTTATCCTACCTTGCTGAATTCAAGTGAAATGGATTTTGCACATTGGATGAGGATTGCCCAAGACATCAAAGTAGTTCATAAGTACACATGCACCAGAGAAATAAAAAAAAGTGCAAAAGTATGATATCAAAAAAGAAAAAAATGTTCAGATTGATTGACAAAAATAAACATCTTCAGTTTGCAAATTAAATGCTATATTTCAAGATCCATTGTTTCCTTTCAGTCCAGCAGACTCATGAGTCAATTATTATCATTTAAATTGTTTTATAATGCATTGTTATGACTTTTATTATACAGATACCAAAAAATCTCTGAATGCATGTAGTCATGTAAACATTTTAAATGCATTTCGATGAATTAATCTCAGAATGTATTATATAATATGATTAAGATTCTCATTTTTTTTAATCAGTCTAGTATTTACATCAGTATATTTTTTTTTAATTCATATTTGCTGCTTTTACAGAAATACTATACTGATTTTCAAGGATTTGTTGTTCTGCTTGGAACAGACACAATGGCCTATGTTGCATCTGCATTATCTTTTATATTCGAAAACCTCGCAAAACCTGTCGTCCTTACAGGATCACAGGTATGTATTGAACATTTATATGGTTCTTTTTAGGTAGATTGAACAAATGCTTGAATATTATTCTTTAACATGATGTGTTTTGATGGGCAAAAGCAGTTTCTGTCTAACAAAGTGTATAACTACGCGGCAAAGAGAACTATTTAAAAAAAACCCGTTAGAAATGGTATAATCAAATAGTCAAATCTGTGGGTGAGGGTAAGAACAAAGGTGAAAAAAACCTTTCACCATTCATTGAGGCTAATGAAAATCCCAACACATTAGAAAAAAATGCAATGGGTTATTCTAACAGTTCCCGATCAAAAAATCACCAAATTACGCAAATATACTGCTGTATTTCCTCTAAATTCTATCGTAAAAAATCATTATTGTGAATCTCAAATTTCTCTGAAAATATTGAAACAGTGTTATCACCCAGGACCTTCCTAGTAAAATAGTGAAATAGAACACAACAACCCTTCCACATCACCATGACACCTTTTTTCGGATTTTAAAAATCTTATTAGAAATTAAGACCTTTAATGTTTTTTTTTTTCACAGATACCAATATTCAGGCCGGGTAGCGATGGATTTAACAACTTTAAAAAGGCTGTTCTGGTTGCTGGGACACTAAAAATTCCTGAGGTTAAAATGAGCAATCATGCACTCACACATGTATAAACCACAGGGGCTAAGTTCTTTGATTTTATTCATTCACTGTTTTTTAATGATTTTCAAAATTGATAATACATGCAATTAATATAAAACAGAGACTTTCACTCAGTATGTATACAGGAAGAAAATACCGTCTATTTCAATATAGTTTCAGATTTTTCAGATTGTTTGTACTCTCTTTTAATGTCAGCATTTCCTTTGCCGAAGAACTCATAGTTGCAAATAAAGAATTATTTATTTGTGAATGCGCATGACAAATGATACATTTAGAAACAGATGCAATTCTGCAAACTTGCATGAAACTTTTTTTTTTTTTTTTTTTTTGGTTTTGTTTTTTGTTGTTGTTGTTGTTTTGTTTCTTTTGAGGGGTGGGGGGGGGTGTTTGTTTTTAAAAAATGGGTTTTTCACTCCAAAAAATTCGCACTAATGCTAGGAAACAAAGAATGTAGAGGGAAGACAACATATATACAACATATCTAATACAAGACACAGTAAACTGCATGTAATTTGTTTGCTAGAATGACAGCAAGAATTAGACATAAAGAGCGTTTATAATTAGGGCTTCTGTGGCATGTTTGCATGACTTTCATTTTAATGATGAAAATACAAGTATAATGGTTTAAAAATAATCGAAAAAAGAAATCATTAATATGAAATGAAATGAATGTTATATTTTTTAAATAACTATGTAGTTATACACACTAATATAATTTTACATTAACAATTGTACTATGTCACACATTTTATTTTATTTTGTATTTTATTTACATGCACAATGAGTGAGAGATATATTTAAATTTTATTTCAAAGGTTACAATTTGCTTCAACGACAAACTTTTTAGGGGAAATAGAGCAAGAAAGAGAAACACAACTAGCTTCGACGCTTTCGAATCTCCAAATTTTCCACCACTTGCCGTATTTAGTGGAAACAAAAGACTGTGTGGTAATAATGAAAATTCCACTTTTCAAATTTCACAAGCTCAACAAAATTGACGATTGATCAAGAAAGCCATCAAAACTACTAGATTTTGGTTGACAATCTATATTAATAAAATAATTATACGTGCATTTGATAAATGCCACTTGTAGAAAAAGTATTAATTTTCAGATCAAATGAAAACAAACATTATGTTCATTTCAAACTCTCTTTTTCTTTCAAAGAAACTACTCAGTATTAGATTTAGAAAACTATGATTATAGAAGATTATATGTTGAACAAGTGAACAAATATCAAGTGGAATTGAGATTGTATATGGAATCAGTATACGTCACAATTACAATTTAGCCTATTCAAGACAGATTTGTCTTATTTTCCGCTTTACTTTCACTTAAACATGCATGCTTATGTAATAATAAATTATCTTTTCTTATTAAAAGATATCATGTCTATATAACGAAAGAAAATAATTATTTACTACGAATGATGGTGCATCAGTCACTAAGCTTGATCATAATTGCCTTTAAAATCTTCTAGCCTAGTCCTGGCTAGAAAATCTGATCCCCTAGTATTATTTTTTAAAATCCATGTTTAAATTTTATTACTTGTTTAAAGGATGGATTTAGTTTCGAATATCATTTTCGGCTTGGCTTAGTCTTATTATACATGTACGTTCCGACTTTGGCAATTTTCATTTGTTAAAATTAAACAGGAAACAAATATTAATACATAGTTTGTTACACCAGTCCTGTATGCATTTCTTAGAATTCTACACATTAGATTTAAATTTAAAAAATCTCTATTTTCTGTAAAGGAATGGTTTTAAGTTTTGTGTGAGTTACTGGTGTGTAAATCACACAGACTAGTCACGTAGGCATATTTCATGAAGCGCGCTAGCGCTTCATGAAAAATATGCCTACTTGCAAGTCTGTGTGATTTACACACCATTATTTCATGAAAAATATGCCTACTTGCAAGTCTGTGTGATTTACACACCAATAATTCACACTAAACTTAAAAACATTCCTTATATTTACATTTTACATGCTTAAATGCACCAAAAATATACTCAGTGTTTGAGTTTCTCGCTGCCCTATATCGTCATATTTTTATTAACGTCTCTGTAGCCTCATTGTGACGTCATTTTAGCTCGAGTTTCGACGTCTATATTTCTACGCGTGAGTATACACAAAAATGACTTTCAAATCAATTTCACAGTTGGCTTAGTAGAAAAACACAGCAAATGTAAATATTCATTATTGGTTCCACATGTTTATACATGGTATGTGTTAGATACTGTTTTTGAATTTAACAAAATTATCCACTTTTCGATTCCAGTTATACACGAATTTGTGTACACAGAGGAACTGCCATGATTATTTGTCCATATGTGTATTTTTTACTGCTTATACATTTTTTTATATATATGTTTTAGGTCATCTTTCAAAAATTATTTCTTTGCCCTCTCCCAACCGACTTGATATAAATGGCCTTATTGTGAATCTTTTTTTAACCTCTAGGAAACATTTTTTTTTTCATTCCTGAATGTTCTCATCCTGTCCACTAGTATGTTGAAATTTTCTTGTAAAAATATTTCTCGCCTACCTATCGACCCAGTCTTTTTTACCCTCAGTCGGGGGAGGGCAAACAAATATTATTTTGAAGATGGTCTTAACAATTGTATTTATTTCATTCAGGTGCGGTACAGAAGAGGCTTCTATTAGAGGCAGGTATCGGAAAAGAATTAACATTATGTACCGAAAACAATGCCGCTACTGCTGATGTTGATGTTGATGTGCTGCATATCTTTCCAGGCATAACTAAAAATGTGGTATGTCTTTTTCTTACCACAAATCCTCTGTTAATAATATCAGTTGTAAATTTGGTATAATCAATTTAATTGTTATAACCATATGTCAAATTCGATTAATCACATTCAAAAAGTTGATATTATAACGAATTAAATTTGCATACATGAATTCTTAAATTTGTTATAGAAAATTTAATTCATTTAATAGAATTCAACATTTATAAGACCTATCGGGAAAAATAGTGAATTCGATAAAACGATATGTCGAATTTAATTCGTTTTAACAAGTTTAAAAAGTCGTTGAAAAGAAATACATTCCTAATAACAATTTTAAAAATGTGTTTAAAATGAAGTAAATGAAATTCGTTATAACAAAAAGAATTCATTCAAATGAATTTAATATGATATAACAAATTAAATATGTTAATACAGATTAAATTCGATATATTGAATTTAAAAAAAAATGGTATTATAACCAATCAAATTCCTTTTTAGAAATTTGACAATGGTATATCCACTTCAAAAATATATTTGATAGGTCTTAAATAGACTTCCATTCCTAAAACCAGTAAACCCTCTCAGTTGATGTTCTTAGGGCATGCCTTTTTTGCATATATCTCGTTTATGCTTGTAAAAAGTATAAAATTAGCATTGATAATTAACAATTAATGCTGTAATAGTGTTGAATATAGGATAAAGTTATAAATTATGAGTTGCAAATGAACCTCTTGAATTGTTAAAACAACGCATGGAGATCACAGGTCTACATGTAAGGTAGAAGTATTTTCTATATAAATCATGCAAATTTTCAAATAAAATCAATAAAGTTACTTTCAAGACATCCACAGCAAAGGCGGAGAGCAATTGATTTTCAGGAAGCAAATTGTGTGAAAAATGCAAATCGAAATGCTATTAGTAATGCAAAACACGGCAAATCCACGGACCCCTGGGGACACTTGCAAGCCATAACTTAAATTGTGACGTTTTTCGTAATAATTATATGTATTTCAAAATATGATGTGTACCTGTACAAAATGATTATGTTTTGTTATTGTTTGAAGCTTTAAAGAAAATGAAATAGGGCAATCGTTTATGGAACATTTAGAGTTTTTTTTTTTTTTTTTTTTTTTTTTTTTTTTTTTTTTTTTTTGCACAAATCCATTTAGAAATTTATGTTACTGGCTGTTAAACGCTTGTCGATTCTAAGACATACTATATTTAGGAATGATTTCAGACGATTAACTATTTACTGTATATGAGTATCCCTTATTTAAGATGGAACACATACCAAGCGCACTAATTCTACGTTCGTTTGGAGTTGGAAATGTCCCATTGATAGTTTGTCAGACATTGGATTCAGAATTATGGAGGGGTAACACCCTGGTCGTGAATGTCTCTCAGTGTGAGGAGGGAGGCGTCATTCCTGAATGTGATGTCAGAACGGTATGAATCCATTTTGTTTCACCTTTGTGCCTGATATAAAACCTATTAATCTGACAACATACATGAACACCATTTAACTAAAGATTTTAAAGATTCCTTTAAGAGCACGTCTCTGGTTTAACAATGCATAATGCAAGAAACAAGGTTTTCGAATTGATATTTTTTTAATGCTTTATTTCAAGGTATACCTATGGAAACTTCAATGCTGATATCAAATTTTAATTCGTATCAGTCTACTTTTAGTAAAAGCATTTTTCTTATACTGGCCATTGGGATATAAATATGGGTTGGTACGAGATCAAATTTACCATAAAGCCCTTCGGGCTTTATGGAATTTGATCTCGTGACCAACCCGTATTTATATCCCGATAGATGTTTAAAAATGATACCTTATTTCTTAAATAAATGTCTTGAAATACCCAAGGTTATGTATTGGATAAAACTACACCTTTCAGTTAACTTAAAGGTCACTGACAAGTCTGGAAAGGTGACTGAATGGCAGAGCTCTACCATTTAGTCACCTTTCAACAATCTTTCAGTGACCTTTCAGTTAACTGAATGACAGAGTTTCATCCTGTGATGCAAGTCAGTGACAAACATGGACAACCACCTTTTAATTAATGCGACAATTTTTTTTTTTTTTGCATTTTTTCTGTATTTGGGGGGGGGGGGGGTTAAGTTAGTTCAATTATTTTAGAGTACAAAAGACGAGTCTTAATGCACTGTCTATCACTTGTAAAGTGACGCCTAAAAATTTATTCTTATACACTGTATATTATATATAGATATTTTTTGCTTGCTTTTACACAAAAGTAAGATTATGGTAGGAAAAATGATCTTTTCTCCCTTTTCATTGATTTCAATATGTTTAATATATGTATATAATTTTGCCACAAAAATCAAAGGGTTTTCATTGAAAAATACAAAAAATAAATAAATAAATATTTAAAAAAAAAAAAATGAGGAAAAGAAGATATATAGTAAATTTTTGAAAATAAATAATTTTCTTGCTAAAAATAATAGTTGCGTTTGCTAATGGAATACAATAATTTATGGATTTTAGTGTTAATTTCAATGTTACCCGAAATCGTTTTACTTACATTTTTATATAACTCTCATATTTTTTTAAAATTCTAGCAGCAAGAAACTGCTATTTATTTTTCTAAGTTAATGTTGTAAATTCAACAGCCCTTAGCGTTAAAAAATCTTTTAACTAGCAAAATTTAATTTCAAGAGAATAATTTTGTCTAAAGATCATTTACATGATCTCAGAGTTATCACCCTTGACAAGCCCTCTGGAAATAAGAAAGACACAAAAATATATCCCTATTGTTATTGTAAATAAAATTATTTAACTTTTTTATCTATAGTTTCTTTTTAAGTACAATGGATTACTAGTTATGACTAAAAAATGGTCGTTTGAATCTAACCTTCCATATCAGGCTTCTAAGTGACCTGCAAAATTTAGAGAACTTAATAGGCAAAAACAAATGACCACATTAACTGTCTAAAGTAGAGCCAACAATTACCTGGGGCAGTTATTGCCTTATCTGGTCTCTGTGAGCGCTCTGTGTACACTAACGCGACGCAAAATTCCGTTTGCATGTATGCTGACTGAAAACACCAATCAAAGTGACAATTAAAGAAAAAACACGGCATCTCCATTGCTAAAAATGATTTTCTCCTTTTAAGTTTCTTTTCGTCTCTTTACAAAATTGAAAAACTGTTGAAAATGAATGTCCAAATTTCCGGAATTTGACGATCGCCGAGACGATTTCAAATGGTCGCCAATTTGGCGACTTGTAGAAAAATTTTAGGCGCCAATCAAAAATTTCAGGCGCCATGGTGACTAAATTAGTCGCCAGTTAGAGGCCTGCATATGGAGCCTCTAAAGAAGATTTCTCTGTGTGTAAGATCTACACAGTCTCAAATTATGATTTTGACAAGGACATAGCAGAGGGCATAGGGATTGCATATCTTATACTGATTTGGATTATACCACAGACTCTCCTATCTCCGAAATTCATTGATGTTCTGGGTATACACTGTATGATATAATAAAGGATAAACCAGTCAGATCAGGAAGTTTAAATTGGATAAGTTCTATTCAGATGTTGAAGGAATAGGTGCGCATGTATGATATTAATTAGAAATTTTTAGTACTTTTGGATTTTTATAAACACCAAATAATAGAAGATGAAAACAGCACAAATATTTTTATAGTGTGTGTGTGTGTGTGTTTTTTTTTACTTAAACCTTGCAAAGTTATTCATTTTCAATTTTGCAATTTATCAAAGAGGTACCCACGAATTTCACGAAAATTGAGCCCCCAAGAAATATAATGATTCCACAGTATACATCGAATATCTATATTGATATAAAGTGACAATGGAAAAATTGTGCATTGTTTGGCCACTCGCCACAATGGTTTTAGCTTTATGTCGTTCATGGGCAACGTCAAAGGGATTTCTCCATCATGCATATGCGTTTTCCAAAAGTTCAGTTTTAAATGTTCAATTCCGCTTGATAACCAATTAATATTTAGAATTTTTTTTTGTATTTTCATAATTTCTCTATATTCTTTATTATACATAAAGGTATTACCGTTATTTCCAGTTGAGCATAATACCTCATTGAGCCGTTTCCTCGTGAACCTCGTCATTTTCATACTTTTCAATACTAGACTTTTCCAAGTAAAATCCAAATAACTGGAAGATGAGACGTTAAAAGTTGAAATAAATTTTACAGAATGAATCTTTTATTAGTGCGTTACTAATACAAACATTTTTTTCTGCTACTCAAGGCAATGTCAATATTTTTCTTCACTTTTGAAACATTACTTTTACGTCATGAGAGGCATGGGCTAACCATGGGTCAGAGAAAAATTATTATTGTTATATACTTTTTCTTAATTTTTAAAATTATTTTTGATATTCATATCTTTATTTGGAATTTTTGTATAAAATATAGTTAAATTTTTACAGCGTTTATATGCTAGGCACCCCGTCTACGATTTAGCGGGATAACAATCAGCTTCTGTCATGTGAATTATTATTTTATCACCATATATGATATAATATATGCCGACAAGCATAAAAATGCTATTTTTACATAGTTTAACTACATGTACATGTAGTCTATTTGTCACAAAATTTATTCTCTCTTCGATTATCTTGTTCATTGACTATAAGTTGTATCAAGTTACATATTTTTGTTATTACCACATTTAGGAACTTGAAAATATTGGAGTTGTGCCAGGAGGGGACATAACATTCGAGGCAGCGTTCACTTAACTTTACATTGCATGCATAATAAAACGATCAACAGCTGAAAGAAAAGTAAGGATTTCTCCTTGCAAAAGTCTGTTAAGGCCAGTTCAGAGGGAAAAAATATTGATATTAGACTTTTTTTTTTTTTTGGTGTAAAAATATTTTCTTCTGAATTGGTTTCTAGTGTAGTGAGATCTGTTTTGATTCCGATTTAACAAAAGTATATATATATATATATATATATATATATATATATATATATATATATATATATATATATATATATATATGTGTGTGTGTGTGTGTGTGTGTACCGTAATAATTTTATGCAAGATAAAGAAATATGAAGACAACGAGCAGTAATAAAGCCCAAATGTCCATTCAAACAATATACAAATTTGGTGCAGAGCAAACACGGACCATACATCAGTGGTGGTGTCAGCTGCCTTTGAGGAGTAAGCATCCCCTGTCAACAGGTCACACCCGCCGTGTGATTTTCGTTATGATGAAAATAATGGCCTAACATTTAATTATATTTGTTTAAAAAATTTCATTCAACATTCGACTTAATGATAGATTGTATTTGCTAACAAGGTCATTGTATCGACCATAGAATTTGCAAAATGTTGACTTCAAACGAGACTTCCAGTGTGCATAATGATTTAACACATGGACATAACTACTTTTTGGTCTTGTCATTGAGATAAAATTCAAACGCAAAATACTCCTTTCTTTTCTGAAACTACACACAGCCTCCATCTTGTATGCCACGTTTTTGGGTTAAATAATATAAACGTGTGATAACAAATGTAAAATAACAAGAATTAACAATTAAGTCATAAGAACTAAGTCAAAACACCTAAGGAATAAGTCAATGTCCTTCCAGGGCTTCCGTACTAAAGACATAATTACTAGTACAGTCTTTGGTTGTTTTCCTAATAATACATGTATTTATAGTCTTACGTGAAATATAATTATTAAAAAAAATCGTTCATTTCAGAGTATGAAGGTGGAATGAAATACTGTGAAGTTTGGTGATTACAACTTACCTGGAGATAGACATACATGTAACTTCGACTTCTTTCAAATAACAAAAAAGAATTAAGATTAAACTGATGGTCTAGTTAGAAAATATTTGTTTGATTTTTTATTACTTTGAAAATAAATAATCTCCTGGGAAATTAATGTAGTACTTTCTGACAGAGCTTATTTCGTTGAAAGCAAATGCATATTAAATAATATATATTAAATGAAAAAAAAACCCTGAATATTATTATTATTGAATGAATACACTTCATTATAATTTCGTTTGCTTACTTTCGGGTTATTGTATGTTCACTCTAATTCCATTTTTCACCTTTAATACATTCATGTAAGCTAATTGAAAAGAGTTAGGTTCACTTTATGCATAAAATGGCCCTGTAGATATACCAATTTATTGACTAATACCCCGTGTACCATTTTCAACATTAACATAAAGTAGAGACTTAGTGCTATGAGTTTATATAACAGAATTTCCTTTGAAGAGTCCAGACATTGAAAAACCGGTTGTGTGAAATTGCAATGTTATTAAATTTTGCAGAAAACAGGTGTTTTTGAGAACCATCAGCAAAGAATTAAAATATGAGCACATCCCTCGATCCAAAAATAAAAAAAAAATGTTTTATAATCGTCATTAAAAGTTCTTTTATAATATATTTACACATTTTGGATGGAAGTTGTGTTGTATACGAAATATTGAAAAAATGGCATCATATTATGGCCATTTTTGAAGAAGTATTCAGGATATGTGAATAACGACGCAATTCCTGACGTCATAATACATTGACTAGAACGAAAATTACGTCGTTTTTCAGTAGATATTCATTCTCTACGTGCTCAAGTTTTATTTATTGCTTTGTTGACAAATACTATACAGTTTGGAATTTTCAGAAATTCACAGGGCCAAAAAAAGGCCCTAAGTGGCTCTTGGTCTTTGAAATCTACAAATTTAATTTTTCTGCAAATAAATTAAGGAAATCGGAGGCCTGTTCAACAGAGCTATCATTTCTGTTAGAGGGATAAGGAATTTTGGGGAGAGCTCGCGAACGTTCGCTCTTTTGAACAGGCAATTCATGTTGTGTTTCTAGTTGGATATGAAATTTTTTTCACAAGTGAGACAGGATTTTTTAAAAATTTTATTTTAACCATTTGAAAAGCTTGATTGAAAATATAAAAAAGAGACCCATAAAAGCCACAACGCTCTCCTGAGTTACTTTGGTCGTGCTGTTCTACGCAAGATTTTTTCCCCCAATATACATGTATTCCTACGTAAAATTTTGATCATCTTTTGTGGCTTCATCCTATACACATGGGCCATACATCGAACAAAATCAAATCAACACTAACAGAGGATGCTTCCACATTAATATGATTCATCATATCTTTGCTGATCTTCATTAGATTTTTTACCATTTTATTCCCATTGTGGCCCCATCCTACCCCCCCCCCCCCCCCCCCCGGACCATAAATCTGAACAATTTACAATCTAAACTACTCATGGAAGCATCCACATAAGTTTCAGTTTTTCTGGCCAAGTGGTTCTTGAGAAGAAGATTTTTAAAGATTTCCCTATATAGTTCAATGTAAAATATTGATTCCTTATTGTGCCCCAATCCTCTCCTCCGGGGGAAATGATCTGAACAATTTACAGTCTTCACTGTCCATGGAAGCTTCCACATAAGATTCAGCATTTCTGGCCTATGGTTCTTGAGATGATTTTTAAAGATTTTTCCTATATATATTTTCAAAATAAAACTTTGATTTCATATTGTGGCCCACCCCAATCCCCGAGGGAGAGGTCTGACCAATTAAGGATCTACTCTACCCCAAGAAGCTTTCACATAATTTTTAGCTTTTCTGGTCCAGTGGTTCATAAGAGGATTTTAAGATTTTTCTTATATATTTCAGTGTAAAACGTTGATTCGATATTGTGGTCCTACCTTACCCCCAAGCGCCATGATTTGAACAATTAAGAATCTACACTACCTAAAAAATCTTCCAAATAGGTTTCACCTTTTCTGGCCCACTGGTACTTCAGAAGAATTTTTTTTAATGCCCAGTCTTATTTTTGCTTTTTCTTCATTTTCTCCCCATTTGAAGTTGGCTTGGCCGTTCATTTTAACAAATTAGAATCCCTTTTACCAAGGGATGCTTTGTACCTTTTTTGGTTAAAAACAGCCAAGTGGTTCTTGAGAAGTTAGACCAACAGACACCGGACAACGGGTGATCAGAAAAGATCAATTGAGCTTTCAAGCTCAGGCAAGCTAAAAACTTTTTATGAGTGAAACATTCCATATCTAACTTCAAATCATTGACTCTTTTGTTAATTACATTTTCTTTGAATGTCCTTTTGCCTCTTTCTTTTGTAAACTCAGTGGATACCTTCCAATCACGGAGTGGCCGAATGAGCTACAGTGACGGTTCCCCAGTTCTTGAGAAGTCCAAAATATGAAAAGTTTACAGTCGGATTGATGAACAAACAGTAAGACCAAAAGACAAATTGGTACTCAGATAAACTCACTTAAACCTTCAGCTCAGGTGAGCTAAAAAGCTAAAGAGAAAAACTAAACTACTGGTTGTCCCTCAGTAGCTCACCAATAATAAGAGTAATTTGTGATCTGTCAAAGCTACAAACACTGTGCATTCGTTTTCATATAAGGATTCCACTGAATTCAGATCTCACCTAAGTTTCTCACATAACCAGGTACAAAATACAGTAAAACAAGCTTCATCAATTTATTGTTGCAATATTTAGTCACTGGTGTACAAGGCTTACTTACACTGTATATTCAACTGATGTGTAAATTTCTCAACTAAAACACACTACAGTTCATTAAACACAGTTTTATGAATTCTTCAAGACTTAGATATTTATAAATGACATATCAGAAATTAGAACACGACACGTGATCACAAAACATTTCAAAATGCTTAAAACGTTACACGTGATAGAATACGATAAAAATATCACCCAATCAAGTGATCCATATTTCTCCTCTCCATTTAGTCAATGATTTACATTCATAAACCCTAGAAAGCTTATCACTGCTTCTTTAAGTACCATAAGTACTACACTTTTCATTGAAAATTGAGATAATAGGGTAAACTGATCGAAAGTCGAACATGACCGCGAGTCGAACGCATTTTAAACCTCACCTACACCTTTTGATAAACAATAAATGGTAGGCAACTCTTGATTATCTGTCTTCTTTTTTATCCATTTAATCAATTAGAGTTATCTTTTCTAAGTCGAACTCTTCTGTTAATAGTTCTAGGTGCCGGGAAATTTGAAGGTGATTTCTCCAAATTTTCTGTCGTAAATGAATTATCAAAGTTGTTTCAAAGCTCCAAACATTTACCAAATAAGCTAATCAATTCTTTAAAAGACAGATTTATACCAATCAATATTTTTAAAAGCTGTTTTTATATGGTTTTGGATACATAATTCGCAAAATAATTAACCAAAGCTCATTGAATTAATATCGAAAAATGATATGGAGTCGAACACCGAAAATGATCGCAAGTCGATCAGTGTTCGACACTAGAAACAACGATAAAAATACCGCAATTTATACAAGAGAGAATAAAAGCTTTATAAGATTTATGAAAATTATATTATTTTAGAAGAAAATGAATCAACTCTTTCCATTAAAAAAAACAACAACAAAAAAAAAAAAAAAACAAAAAACAAACAAACGAACAAACGAACAAACCTGTGCCACCAGTACTTTAATTATTCCATGATTCAGACCACAATTTACTTGATCATTTAACTGTAAACGTCTAGTCGTAATATAGCAAATTTAGATGTAGGCCATCTATTTTGGCAATTATGTCTACAATCAAGTTTTAAACTTCGTGCAAAAATCCTCATGCTGGGGAAAGGAGATTTCTTTTCTTTTTATCAACAAATTTGTGAGTTGGATTTTTTTTTAATGTAGTGCCCCCTCCCCTCTCTCTCGAAAAAAATACCTGGGTCTGCGCCTGCCAATGTTTTCAGTGCTCTCCAGAGCCCAATACAT